ATGAAATGAGGTTGGTCCTTCTAATCCACAGATAGAACCAATAAGGGAAGGAAGAATACTGGAAATGAATGATGTCAACAGGAGATATTTGGTTTGGGACCACAGACTGAGTTATTTAGATGATGGACTTCTGACTCAAGAGAAACTGCTTTTAACTGGGATCAGTAAAATATGTTTACATGAATCAGGGCAAGCTTGATTAAGAAGCCTCTCAACTGAATCTTGTGGGGATTTGGAGACAAAAATCCCTGAAGTATGGGCCTCAGAAAAAGGCACTGCTTGTACATTATAGCATAAACAAACAAACAAGGGAGCTATAATGGACCCTTGGCCCCAAAACTACACAATCTTTATAGTCTAGACCAGTAGTTTTCAAATGGAGACTGGAGATCGCTGGGTTTCCCAAGACCCTTTCAGGAATGTCTGCAAAATCAAAGTAAATATTTAAAATTTTCTCAGTTTTAATTTATAACACAGTATACACAGACAATAGAGATATAACCCATATAGACAACAGCTCTTTGGGGTCTTCAATCACTTTTAAAAATACGAAGATGTCCTAAGACCAAAATGTTTGAGACCTGCTGGTCTCTAGATTCTAATGCTGGAACTATAAGGGAAAAAAACCCCAAAAGGCAAACATGACTTAATATAACAAAAATTTAGCAGAATATATTATGTGACAGAAATATATCAATATAAAGATTCTATTTGTTAAAGAAGAACTGAAATAATAGAAAGGGAGGAGAAACAAATAAAAGCAACCATCCTAACAAGGATAAGATGATGGTGCCTTCTGTAAGCAAACTGCAGGTCTTTCAAAGAGCCCGAAGTAGCAGTGATGGGAAACTTGTATTACCCAAACATCTGTTGGGAGAGAAACTCTGCCAAGCATGGTCCTTCCCCAAAATTCTTGACTCGCTGACAACTTTCTCTTTCAGGGAGTTGGGACAGGCAGAATAATATCTGTTACTCTTGCCTATTGCTTAGTATCTCTAAGCAATAGGCAAAGCATACTTAGAATAGTGAAAGTAGTAGGAACATTGGATATAAGTGAACACCAAATGCTGGCGTTATTGATTTTAAGGAAAGTTGAATTCAATTTTCTCTCTAACACACAGCCTGGATGCTTTTTTAAAGTGTATGCATTGGTCAAACTCAGAAGAATTAATAGGGATATCCCATGGCAGGAAAAGATGCTCAAAATGAATGGGAATTTCTTTAAAAGGACACACAAAAACCACAACTGCCAACAGTTCCAGTAAGGGAAATAATATGTGATCCACCAGGAATTTATCAAGAGCCAAGTTAAGGACATAACTGAATGATTTAAATCTTCACAGCCAGATTTTCACAGGATACTAAAGAAACTAGCTGATGGTCTGGCTGAACTTTTAATATTATCTTTGGAGTACTAGATGAACAAACTGGAGAACAAATTTTGTCCTTAGTTTTAAACATTTTTTTAAAAAAGGAGGGAGTAGCCAGTTTCATATCCTTATTTAATAAGAGTCTAGAGCAGATAGGTCAGTTTGCATATAAAAACAAAATACAAAAATCACCAGGTCAGAGTGGATTGGATTGCTATAGATGTATCACCAAAACTTTTGATAGAGTACCCCGCAACAATCAAATGGATGCATAACTGGCCCCCAAAATGTTACTTGGCAGCTCCTAATCCATGACTCCTCTTCACCATGGATGTACCATAAGATTGAGTTCTGCGCCTTCTATTCAAGATTGTTCTCAGTGATTTGGGTGAAAAGATGGAGGGAATCCTCATCTGCAGATGACACAAAATTGAATGGGATAACTAATACAGAAGGACCTGGCCACGTGAAGCTCATACTTCATCTCTAGCATGACACAGGGAGGATCTGTTAGCAAGGTTTAACACCTGAAAGGATTTTGCTCAGAAGGCTACTGAAGAAGGCTTCAGTGAATCTGTTCAAGCACTTTGCCCGACCTATGGTCATTAGCCATGGTCACTCCTATCTTCAAAAAGGGAGACCCCAGTCTAGTTGAAAATTACAGACCAATCTCATTATGTTGTGTCACCTGCAAAGTCACGGAATCAATCATCAACCAATCCATTATCTTCCACTTAGAGACAAACAACCTACTCTCTAACAAACAGTTTGGTTTCAAGAAAAATTAGTCCTGTAATCTACAACTCTTACATTGCAAAAACATTTGGACTACACAACTTGACCAGGGCAAAACAGTTTATATAGACTTCTGCAAAGCCTTTGATTCAGTGGTACACTACTGTTAAAACTACACTCTTAAGGCATTTCTGGATATTTCTGGATACAAATGAATAGTTGCATTCCTGTCAAACAGGCAACAAGTATTCAAAATATCAAACCCTGCACCAGTTAACAGCGATGTCCCCCAAGGCAGAGTTCCAGGACACACTCTCTTTCTAATTTACATAAATGACCTTTGCAATCATATTAAAAGCAACTGCATCCTCTTCACTGATTATGTAACATCACTGACAATACCGCTGCCTTACAAAGTGACCTTGACTATGTGTCAGAATGGTCAAACAATTGGCAACTTCAAATCTCAACCAACAAATGCTCTGTCTTACACATTGGCAACAAAAATCAGAACACTAAATACAAACTGGGAAGATATGACCTCGTAGACGACCCTCACTCTGTCAAGGATCTAGGACAGGGGTGTCAAACACAAGGCCCGCGGGCCAAATCCGGCCCGCCAGACCTCGTCTGATGGCCCGCGGTGCCGCCGCCAGCCTTGCAGCCTCCCCCTTTTTTTTTCCAATGAATTTACTCCGTGCCTGCACGGAGTAAATTCATTTTAAAAATGGCTCAAGTTAAAAAAAAAAAAAAATTACTTACCTTCCGGGACCTGGCCCGACTTCTTCCTGCCCCGCACTGCTCCCTGGGTGTCGGACGTGACGTCATCACGTGACGTCCACCCGACATCTCCAGGGATCAGAGGAGCGCGCGGACGCCGCGGAGAGGAGCAAGAAGAAAGAAGTAAAAGAAAGAAAGAAGTAAAAGGTAAGTAAAGTAAATGGAGGGGGCAGATGGCTGGGCACTATAAAAGGGGGCAGTCCAACAGCAGCCTGAAAGCGAAGTTCCAGGATGCGACAGTCGACGACTTTTACCGTCTCCTCCCCCCTGCTTTGATGCCACAGCTCCGACTTCAAGCTGCACGTGTTCTGTCCATGTTTGGGAGCACTTATCTATGTGAACAGATGTTTTCAGTCATGAATCTGAACAAGACCAAGCTCAGATCACGCATCACTGATGATAACCTCCATGCTGTTTTGCGGATTGCTACAGCACAAGACCTAACGCCAAACATCGATGGACTGACCTTAGGAAAACGATGTCAGCCATCTAGTCAGTAAAGTTAAAAAAAAGGTAATGCCTTGTGTTTTCCATATGTTTAATAAACAGTGTTTGGCAATATTTGTATGTTTAAAAAAAAATTAATGTTTGTTACCAAAAAACATTTTTCAATACATTGTACAATAATTGTACATTTGAATATCTACTTGTCATTATTCTGACTATGTTTCTGCTTTCAGAGCTTACATTATTACAAAAAACAGTAATAATTGAATGCAGTGACATTAATTTATGATAATAAAGAGTGGACACATAGACCTACAGATACAACCGGCCCTTTGATGGGGACCAAACTGCTGATGCGGCCCCCGATGAATTTGAGTTTGACACCCCTGATCTAGGAGTACTCATTTCAAAAGATCTGAGCCCCAGAGCTCACTGTAACAGCATTGCCAAAAAGGCATTAAGAGTTGTTAACCTAATTTTGCGAAGCTTCTTTTCTGGTAACATTGAACTACAAACCAGGGCATACAAAACCTTTGCCAGACCAATTCTGGAATACAGCTCATCTGCCTGGAATCCACACTGTATAATGGACATTAGCACAACTGAACAAGTCTAGAGGTATTTCACAAGAGGAGTACGCTATTCCTCAGCTCACAATAGAATACCTTATGCCACCAGCTTGAAATTTTGGACCTAGATAACTACACCGCCTATGGTCTGACCTAAACTTAGTCACAATATTGTCTGCTACGTCCTACCTGTTAATGACTACTTCAGCTTCAACCACAATTACACACAGGCAAACAATAGATACAAACTCAAAGTAAACCGTACCAAACTCAATTGCAGAAAATAGAACTTCAGCAACAGAGTGGTCAGTGCCTGGAACTCACTACCTGACTCTGTTGTTACATCCTCAAACCCCAAAACTTTAACCTTAAACTGTCTACTGTGGACCTCACTCCATTCCTAAGAGGGGGAGTGCATAAGCGCACCAGTGTGCCTACCGTCCCTGTCCTACTGTCCCCATTTATTCGTACTCATTATGTGTCTACTTATACCTGTTTATACTTATATGTTTATATGTTATGTTCATACTTATAGTTTTCTCATACATGCTTAACAAACTAAATAAAATAAAGTAAAGTAAAGTAAAATAAAATAAATGCTGGACAGCCTGGGATGCTTCAACCTGAAGTGCTACTTGAAGGTGGACCCCAAGACACAAGCGGCCCTTCCACTTCTGATTCTATTGGGGGGGGGGGGGGGGGGGAGCAGGGACAACATTCTGAAATAGACATGTCTCTGCTACCTACCAGAAGGACTGAAAAGCTACTAGGCTGGAGAGTATTTTCCTCTTTTCAAAGCGAAGAACGGTTTTTCCAAGCCCCTTTTTGATATACAACAATTCCACTGACGAGGAATGCAACCGATCGAGAAAATTGAACCCTCCAGGACTTCTTCGCGTAAAATGCAAAGGTCAGGAGACGGTATGCTCTTCTCTTGGTGAGGGTTAGGAACGGGAACCCTCCCGGCCACTCGTAGTCCACCGAGGGTGGAGTCAGGCAGACCCGCTACTTTCCCCCACCCCCGTCGCTTGGCCCATGCAACGGAGAGGGCGCGGCCTCATCGGGCGGGGGTGGAGTCTCAGACAGTCGCGGGGTCCCTGCTGGGCAAGTCCGCTTCGTTGGCAAGGAGCTCGGCTGGAGCTAGGAGCGGCGCACCGCAAGCGGGAGAGGCCGTTAAGGTACGCCGGCCCTGTTGACCAGTCCTGTCCGATAACTGCTCGACGCGAAGATGCTCCGCTACTTTGCTTTTTGCCCGCAAGCTCCCTCCCCTCTCCCAACTAAACGCCGCTTCTTCTGAGGCTTCTCCCAAATTCCGCGCCTCCGCTGCCTTTGCTTTTCTTCCCCTCCCGCTCGAGTCGAAGAAATGACTCCGCGGACTGAGGGTCCCAAAGCGGCTCGTGAAAGGTAAGCGGGCACTCCTCCTCTCGCTGGTTCCCCTGGCTCGCTTGTGCCCCTGCTCCTTGGATCCCGGCCGCCTTTCCCTTGAGTCGTCGCCCCCGCTCTTTCGCCTCAGATCGGCCTCGATGGCCTTGGGTGGCTTTTGAAAAAGCGAGTCCCTTCAAACTCCAGAGAAATCCTGTCCGCTTGCCTAAATCCCGCCCAAACTCCTTCGCCGTGTTATGGTTTTGATGTAATGTAAGCGCGTTGCTGCTCTCCCCCGCTGCCACCCCCCGGAGCTGGAAAAAGAGCCGAAAAGGACAAACACCATCTGTACATCCCCCACCGCCTTTGATTCGCCTCTCAGTGCCTTTTTTAGGCTGGAGAAAGGCGGGGCTGCCTAGTGTGGTCATCTACAGCTGTTTGCCATTAGAGTGAGGCGCGCGCTCGTTGCGAACGGGAGCGCTGGTGTTTAAAGTTGTTTTCTCCATTCTCTCTTCTCTCCTTTTTTTCTTTCCTTTTTTCCCTTTTTTGCTCCTCTGCCTGTCAGGCTGATGTTGATCATTTATTGCATTGGGACGTCCCATAGTGGAGAAACATCTTGGATTTCTTGGAGTTGGCTGCCCACAAGTGGTGGGGCAGGAAAACCCTGGAGGTGGAAGCTCAGCAGCTGAAGGAAAGAGTGCAAAATAAGAAGGGAGTGGAGCAACTAGATACCTGTTAACCTTGCCCGGACAGTGAAGGAGGGGGTCCTCTCCCCCCCCCTCCAAAAAAAAAGCAAGCTGGGCAATAGGAGTCCCTTGGAAAGACTATGGCTTTTGGTTCCCAGTTAATTTTGGGTAGCTGTCTTGAAGGCAAGCCCAACAGCCATATATGCCCCATCCAGCATGAGATCTCCCTTTGTTCCTGAACCTGGCAAACCTGGCCAAGGATGGCTTCCTTTTCTAAAACAGTGATATCTTGAGCCAGAGCTCTAAAGCTTAGCTAAGTGTGAGACCCCCACAAGGACTAGTCCATTAGCCAGAGGGCTACAGTTCTGCAATCCTTTCAGAGGTTAATCATGAAAAGCATCCTGGTTTGTCTTTAAAAATTCATTTAAAAAAAAGTAAACAGCAGCACCCATACTGTGCAATAGAGCTACTTTTCACCCTTCAGTGTAATTTTCTCTAGCAATATTTTTTCATTAACCAGAATACCAATATTTGGTTTGTGTTCAATAACAACATAAAACCTTTGAAACTAATCATCTGAAACTTACCAGGATTTATACTCACAGCAGATAAATTTGTGTTGCAAATTATTTCCAATTCTGCTCCCCCCCCCAAAAAAAATTGGCAATTCACCTTATGGGATCGGAAAGATACTGTTTTCAATATGATATGTACCACCCTATCATAAAAAGCTGTAATTTCAAATTTTAGCTAATTTCAGATTACTCTTAATGGAAAGTAGGATAAACTTGGTTAAAAACTTGCCACACTGAAGAAAAATATTTTCCATTTGGTGTTTTCTAATTATAGTTAAGGGGAACATTTGGGAGTTAGAATTGTAAGGAACAACCAACCTCCTGTCCACAACCTTCTAAGCATGTCACAGGTAGAAAGCAGCCAGTCTGAGCCAGAACCTGGGATTTGCCTCTTAGAAACGTGAAAGCAAATAAGAGAGCCAGGAAAGGAAGGGGACAATATGGGCTGCGTGGAGGTCCCCTTCAGGTGCAACTCCTGGGAGACAACTCCTGGGAGACAGAGCTCTAGAGAAAGGACTAAAATAGGTAGCAGCATTTTCATCTTGGCCAGTGGTGGGATTCAAATTTTTTTACTACCAGTTATGTGGGCGTGGCTTGGTGGGCGTGGCAGGGGAAGGAGACTGTAAAATCTCCAGTCAGAGGTGATATTTGTTGGTTCTCCAAACTACTCAAAATTTCCGCTACCGGATCTCCAGAACTGGTCGGAACCTGCTGAATCCCACCTCTGATCCTCTGATCCAGGCAACCAATTGGCAAAGACCGCACCATGACCTCTTCTCCTCCCTATTAGAATTAAGCTGACAGGTTCTGGCTATGCCTATGACAGTGTCTTGATGCAGATTTAGAAATACAGACACTCATTGACCTGACCTGCCCAGGTGTGGTGGTTCCACACACTTCCACAGGATTGGGTAGTTTCTGCCCTGATCTGGTCACCCTTCTCTTAACTGAAGGAGTGCAGGCCACACCAAATAACTGGGGAGACTGCAAGAAGCTTTGAGACCCTCCTATTTTTTATCTCTGAAAATAATAGCAAATACTTGTAAGTCAGGTTTTAGATTTTGGCAGTGGTGTGCTCTTCAAGTTTGTTTCAATTTAGTTTCTGAATGTTTCATTACCAGACTGGGTAACATCATGGAGCAACTCCAAATGAACAACTAATCACACGACCAACTGACCACACAAGACGTTTATAAACTAAGGAGAAGAGGACAAGAAAATCCTGCTGCTGATGTTACCTAGTCTGATAACGAAATGTTCAGAAACTAAATTGAAATGAGCTTGAAGAGCAAACCAATTTCTTATCTCTATTTGTCATAAATGTTCTGGAGCAGAGTGTCTTAGAATCTGTTTCTATGCAAGAGAATTTCCTGTCTAATCTGTAGCCTAATTCCACTGAAGTCTTCCATTCCTGGGTTTGTATTAATTTCATGAAAAAAAAATTTGCTATCTGAATAAGGCTCATTCTTTATTTTGTAGAGACCACTCAAAAGGGTAGGGCCTGCCAAGTGTCTAAGCACAAGGTGGAATGGAGTGTTGTTTCACTCCCTGATGCGTTGCTTGGTGAAAACAAGTTCCTTCAATGCAATTTGAAATGATATGTGTGATCATCTCCATACTGAGATTTATCTGTGGGGAGAGTTAAAAAAAACTAGATATAGTAGTTGCAATTATATGAATTAAGTGGCATCCCTTTTTCATGGGTCATATGTCGACATGCATAAGAAAAAGATGAAATTTCAGTTGCATTGCCATGACCCTCTGCTCAATAGACCATGCCACTTGTGAGTGCAGTTAGAAACCACTAGAGATCAAGCAGTGCTTTATCCAAGAGACCAAAAGGAAAAATCATTCAGTAAGTGTCTTTCTAACTGAGTAAAGAGTTACAAAAATTCCTTGAACTAAAGGGAAGAGTACATGCCATATGCATTTGGTCATTTTCAGAAAAACTGAGTCATATGTATAAAAGGAAAACTGCCTATCAGGATTGCAATTTTCCTATATACAATTTCCCACTGGAAACTGTGGGGAAGGCAGGACAGGTAGTTTTGTAGGCAGGTGCTCTTCTCAACAATTGCAGCCACAGTTTGGGTTTCATGCAGTGTTGGTGGGAGTGATCACTTGCCTAAAGGCAGAAAAAGAGCCTGATTGTGCATACTGCACAGTTTTGTTTTGTTTTGTTTTGTGAGGATTGTGAAACCATCAAGAAGAATTAAGATTATGTTGCTGGTGAAAGTTCCCTGTGAAATCTACAGGGAGCTCCAAATTCAAATTACAATGCAAAGGAAGGCAGGAGTTGTTGTGAATGGAAACATGGCCCCACCCCAAGCCCACAAGGCTCCACCATCACAAATTGCTAAATTGAAGAGTTGCTATGTGAGCTGTACTGTGTCAGAGCTGGAAGAATGTTGGCTTGTTTGCCCAAGGAGATTAATGTTGTAGGAATATAGCAGGGCCATGTTGGTGCCAAATTAGGGCAACTATTCCATATTGAGAGGTCCTTGCTAAAGGGTGCAAGATTTTGTATCGCTGCAGTTTTCCCTAACTGGCAGCTTAACAGAGTAAATAAAAAAAATCTGCATTCAGGGATAACTGTCACACTGAGGCTAAACCTTTCTACTATCCTTGTAAATTGTGTTTGTGGGACAAGGTTACTTCAGGATTTCATGTTCTTGAAATCTTTGAGAAGAAAACTGTCTGTGCCTGAATTTCACTCTCTCCTCTTAAACCCCAGCATCTGATGTTATAATATATTAAATTTATCAGGTGATCAACAAACAATTATGTGGCTTCATGTGGCTTTAAGGTTGTAATTGGACCCCAGGATATTTATGGTAGCAGAAATTTCAGTTATAGATATTCAGTCTTCCCCTGAAAAGTATAATACAGAAAGAAAACAAAAGGCTTTTGGATTCTCAAGCAAGTTTGCAGAGTATTTGACAAGATGATAATAACACATTCACAGGGCAGGAAGCTCCTCTTCCCCTGTAAGCTTCCTAGGAAGGAGATGGTGAGACCTCAGAATGACATTTGTTCATCTCTGGTTACTAACACAGGTCTTATCCCATTTGAAAGGTAGCCAAAAAGTACCTTAGTGCTGGGGGAGGAGAAGTAGAAAGCTTTCAACTTACTGCTTAGAGGATAGTGAATATCTCACCAACAGAACAGGAGGGAAAGAAAAGACAGTAAACTCAAGGCTGTGTTTGGGAAGGATACAAACAGATATCCTACAGGGGAATTGATCACACTCTTATCTCCAGCGGGTATTATAATAATCAGAGGTCATAACATCACAAATGACTTCAGACAACAGCGATTGACCCTTCAAATAGCCTTGTGTGATGCATTTTTATTCCATTTCTGCTCAGTGTTCAATTCTCTTCTGACATGCTTGCTTGGTCTAAGCCCTGATTTTCCAAGTTATGCTGCTATTATTCTCCAGCATGTCACACCTCTTTCTCCTAGAACCACAAAGGAAAAAAACTTAATTCTTCACGCAATGCACAAGCTCCATCTGCAGAGCTCTCTCCCCAAACCTCCCTATGAACAAAACAT